TTCCATTCGTGTGGAGTCATTGTTTCACATCGCTTCAAACAGTTGTTCGTTTTTTCACACTGCCACATAGTCGTGTTTGAATATATGCAAAAATAAAGCTACACATTCACATTCGGTCGACTCCTGACCTATCGGTTCCTTGTGCGGTTGGCCACCCAACTCCCGGGGGCCTAGGTTACGGGTTTCCATTACTGAACAGCAGGTCTTCGTGACTATGTTATCCACTCCGTCTACTGTTCATCGCGCAAAATGTGTGTAGAAAAAGGTTGACGTAAAACATAACTTTCCGGTTTGTGGTTTGGAGAGTTCAAACGGCTTAGTAGAGATCCAGGTGAAGAACAAGTATTAATTTTAATTGTTTGGGTATCACTTCTGCTAAATAGATGTGCGTCTTACATCATTAAAGTTGAAAATACTGTTGTAAGTTGTACCTTTTATGTGGAACTTCTCGTTCAGTGTCCAACTGTCATTTGCCGATGCTTAAATCCACTACAAGCATATCAGACAACATCTAATGCGACAATGGACCTTTTCAATCCGCCGATTGTTACTGTCTTATCAAGCGGGGTATCCCGAAGCGAACTGTGTTGCATCGGCCAGTTTCCTTCATCTCGCGTGATCGTGCATCTCTGCATTCTGTCAGTAAAGTCAATCGTGTTGATATAAACGCATTTACATCGATCAAACATGTGAATAATCACTTAGCAGCCATCAATTCTGACTTGCTTCGGTTGACCGATAGAAAATCAATAAATTTGCACCAATCGGGGCCTGAGTGAAAATATCCGCCGACGGACGAGTGCAATCTCGCCGATCTGACCATACTGATCCGATGGAAAAATTTCGACCCACTAGTGATTAAGCACCGATAACGATTGTTTAGGATTCATTGACATTGTTATGACTATGGCTAACGGAACTAAACCAATGTCCATTGTCTTTTAAACAGAATCCATCACGACGAGACTGCACCTTGACGTAGTGTGATGGCTTGTACACCTCTCTGACCCAACGAGCTACACTGGATGGCTTTTGTCAAGCCGAATATCTAATCATGCCTGGAAGGTCGAAGGGTAGAGGTCGGACGCAGTCCAGCCTCCTGGTCCTCCAGGTTGAGGGTTCGACTAGAATTTGTGTTTCAGTCGGTAAAAAATGATGGAGGGGTAATTGATCTAAGTAAATGGGCCTCCACTTCGCTTCACCCGCTGCCCTACGGTTAGGTTCTTGTCAGAACTAAAGGCTTTGGTTGAGAACCCGAATCGTTCTCCTGGATATCCTGTCAGTACCTGTCCATCAAACCCCAGTGCATGTGTACTGCGAGTTAGGCAGTGGTTAGTGAAGTTGGCTTTCCTGTATTTCGCTGTACGATGATAATGATCATTTGAACAGGATGAACTCCCCCCCCCCCAATTGGCTGATTTGTACACTGAGACAAACCTGTTAGTTTTCAATTCTTCCTAAAAGCATATGATCGTTTTGTGCTAGTGTCTATGGCTGTTCCATGGAAACTTTCAAGCACCGCAACCATGTGAACAAATTGCTGATCTTGTTCGCTTGCAGTGTGGTGTTTTTTCGCACTGGTGCATCACAGCCTTAGTTTCCTAATTGAGGACCCCAGGATACTGGTAACCCATGTTCCTCACCAGTGACAATGATGTCTCATCCACTAGAGGAGCATCTGTCGATGGCCGTTGGTCGTTTGAAGAATCCGTACGGACTGTCGTGCATTTTATCACACTTATTCACTAAAGCGAACAGCTTATTCCCGAAAACCAAGAACAGTTGAGGAGCTTAAACAGAGTATTGTGGCGCAGTGCGAAAGTATTCCAACTGCTACCATTCTAAAGGTGGAAGAAAACTATCTTCACCGGATTTTGCTATGCAAGCAGCAGAATGGAAAACATAGAAAACAGTTTTTATAATATAAATATATTTTTTCCGTAATATTTGTTCTTTTTATCTTTCCGAATTTTATCGCCGATGTAGTTAGCGAGATCGTTCAACGCAAAAACAAACAGTTGGGAAAAAACCAAGAAGAGTTTCGTGTGGGGCTACATTAGGAAATATTGTTGTCCATTATTAAGACAAGTTCAAAGTTTTATTATGATCATCTGCTTACCGAACCCGCTTCAAAAAATAGTGCGTGTATGTTGACCGAGTCAAGCGTTGACCCAGTGTCATCATCGCTTGAGCATTTTCCATTCTGAAATTCCTACATGGCACGCCACTCCACAACTGATTCCCTTGCGGTGATTCTCTACCGACACTTAAGCGGCATCGGATTCGGAACTTATCCTCTTCCTGTGCCGGCCCGAAAATCACACGACCGATCGGGTTCATTTATCGATCGGTCGATTGGTTCAGCCGCAACAAGGGACCTGGTGCTTGCCCAGCTAACCCGAGCGAGAAACCACACCTTGTTTACAGCCGTGAGTCTTAGGCAGGCCCAGTGAACTTCGATTGCAGCAGGAGTGCCATCAGCACATGGATAGACTAGATGTAACAACAAGAGCATTGTAAAACGTACAAGTCGGTATCAGACAGTCTTGTGTTGGGGGTGAGGAATTTTAAGCGCCGCAGATCGCGGAATATGATCCAATCAGATCATAGAAAGAGTCGGAGGGAATTTAATTGTCTAAGGTCACGTGTGAGAGGGACGAGAGGATGGTAAACGATGGAGCAATCACACTGTAGTTTACGTTCTGATTCGGAGAAAATCTTTAGGGTTTAGGGGCAAAGCGGTTACAGGGAGGGCTCTCCGTAGACTTGTGCTTGTTACAGACAGTCGATCGGCACCATCAGGACTAAAGCGTTTATTTTTCGTAGACGAAAGTTCCCCGGGTACTGTACACTAGAATCAGGCCGTTTAAGTACCTCTTGTTGTAGTCAAGGTATGTTGAGCACGGTTCTATGCGTGATTTATTTTTAGAGGTGCGGTGGTTAGCTTTCTGGACCAACGGTTTATACTTATTCCAACAGAATGGATTTTCCAGATAGGTGAGGATTTAGCTTGTTGGACAGCATATCCAAGCGTTGACCATGCTGTCACGGTAGCCATGTGACTACTGAAAAGTTTGTCTTTCATCGTGTTCATGTGATCAGTATAAAGTCATGTGACCGACTTCAATCCCTATCTTTTTGCTCGTGTTCCAACTTGAACCATCCGGTTTGCCTGTTCGCAGCATCACTTTTATGTACCAAACTCAGAAATCAGTGACCCACACGAAACGATCCCTGATTTTATTTCTAGATGGTAATATCATCGTTCACTGGATAATTGAGATATATGGTGATGAATGTGGTTTTCCTATCTCTGGCTCGTGAAATATAAGGTCTATGTTATTAATAATCATCGACCGTTGATGTGCTACGTCCTATACGCGTACATCTCTTCACAGGGTAACGGACAGATGCCACTGCTTTCGTGCAACGCCCCTGACAAATTTAAACCGGTTCACAAAAGCACAAGCAGGTCGATTGATCGTAGCAGGCGTGGGGCGTTTTCCCATGGGACTGGTATGAATATTCAGCCATTAAAGGAAGTTATCGGTAAATCGTTCTAGCGCATTCTCTACTGCTGGTAAAAGAAACAAAACTGTGTATCACCAGGCCAAATTATTGGTAATGCTAAATGTGACAGGATGTAGTCACACACACACACACACACACACACACCTCGCTTTTCGTGAACGGTAACCTTTTAAACTTCAATCGCATTCCAGAACTGTGCTCATGTATGTCAGTGAATCCCTGTTCACATATGGGACATTCGTTTTCTGTGGTTCTTGAATGGGCGCTCGCATTGAACGCTATGGTATAGTGTCGTATCTAAACGATGAAGCAATCTTTCAGCCACGTATGATGATGTTGAGAAGGACAAGGTGCTAGAGATTGAAGGGGTGTAGATACACCACGGACCGACAGAATGTATTGACATTGCAAGGTGGCACAATTTTTGTCCCAGTGTAAAGAGCTGTTTAATCTGACGGGAAGATTGAGCTGGTTTTCATCGACGGAACCGTGACTGCTGGCCCTACTGAGCACTGATAAAATTTCCCTTCAATGAACTTTATCCTCCTTTGGGATCACCTATCCATCTATATTGATCCACAGCATCAGGCTACACATTCATACTTGCGCTCACCTTTTTCAACGTTGTTAAGTATCCCGGATCTTGATCCTGATACGCAAGTACTCGGTAGTATTTTCTCAGGTGAGCAGTCGCCCTATCAAATTTCTATCCCCAGATGTCGGACTTCTTTCCCGAGGACTGCGAAATTATGGAACACTTCCCATTTCCGTGTTTCCAAGCTCTTATAAACTTACCCTTTTCAAAAGTAGCATTAACAAATTGATTCCTACTTGAATGGTCCCCCACATACCTCCCCCTTACAGTGTATCATTTATTATGGATTTGTCCCTCTTGCTGTAAATCACTTCGTGTGTTTACTGCTGTGTTTTACTGCAACTGACCAGGAAATCTAATTTTTTTAGTCGATGCGTTCTTTGCTATTGATTTTTTGCACTTGCCAGTCACTCAGTGCACTGTTACGGTCGCGGAGACGCGTGAGCTGCGTAAGTGTCACTCAGACACACAAGTATTCGATTTTGTCGTTTCACTTTCCATTTTTTCGCCTACGTCATTCTGAAATAGCATGATGATTGCTGCTTTGAAATAGTGTAACAGCACTCAATTTCTGTAAGTTTCCACCACCTTCCTCATTTGTAACCAATGTCGTAGCACACCACAGGCATTCTGATAGTACTGCAATATTTCGTCTATTGTTGTCCCATTCTAGGACTCCCTGTGGCATCCATGCTTGTGGCGCCGTCGATCACCCCATTTCGGCTTAGGGGGCTTGGCTCATTCAATCCGCGCATCCGTTTGTATGAGTACAATCGCTTGACCGGTTCGCTGCTGGGCTATAAACAATACTTTCTCGATTTGGATCTTGGTAGTCAGGCTTTTTGGCAATTGGAGTACGATACAAAATCGACTTATGGTCTGCCCGATTTGTCCCCAAACTCACTCTCACAATTGTTGTGATGAAACCGTGGACGGTCCCTGGCACATGTATTGGCTTCACGAATTGGGTGGTCGACCGCATGAACCCCGTCCAGACATTCTTACCCCAGAGGGACTTTGTCCCCACGCGCTGTCAATGTGTCGCTGTGAGCACATTTGTGCAATGCGTCATCTTCTTCTGCCTTCTTTGCATCAATGTTTGAGCCAGTGTCCCTCAGGGAGTTCCTGTAAATCAAAAGGGGAAATGTACTCGGTGAATACAAGTTTGTCGGAGATTAATGGGACCAGTGGGGGCTCCGGGGCGAACAAACGGAGTAGTCTACCCATAATTATTGGTGTCATCATCGCATTTCTTGCAATCCTGGTGGGAGTGGTATTGTTAGTCAATAGAGAAATTTGCCAGAAACGCGGTCGCTATGGAAGTCGTTTTGCACCTGGGGGTAGTTCAATCGGTGGGGTTATTTTCAGCACATTGAACGGTACATTTCCACGATCTGCTGGCGTCAATGGTCTTCACGGTCCTCATACTCAGTGCGGAGATAGCATCACCGGTTCATGCACAGAGCTACGTGTCGCGTTTCAACCTCAGTATGCCATGGATGACGAGTTTTCGATCGGTACACAGGGTACCGCGGATCAGGATGAACATTCTCCGCATGCGTTAACAAAGGATGGCAATTTTCGGGAAAACGCACCGCATAAAAAACTATTGAACATGTCGACAGGTCGTCCTAATCAGCATCAACGCCGAGTAAACGGTCATCTCGTGTCACCCCGTGTCCCAATCAATACCAGCGTTCCAGCTGATAATAGACATTCCGTACCTGAATTTGATCGTGACCGAAAGCTTTCAAGGACTAAGATGATCGCCAATACTGAGGCTGTAGTGCATCAAACGTCTCCAGGTAGTGTAATCCATCTGGGGGAACATAGTTCAATCCTAACAGCAGATACCAGCGCGGTCGCACCTCCATCCGCTGCAGTGTCCAATTTGAGCTGTCCGGCAGAGGACTACTATGCAGATGATGAACAGGCGTTCGGTGATGATGAATTTGAAGAAGAGGAGGAAGATGAAAAATCAGAAATGCTCTACGATCCCATGGACCCTACAAAAGCACTAAATGATGACCTAACCAGTTCCACTGATTCCGGACCCTTTGATGACGGTGGGAAACCATTCAATCTCACTCCAAGCAAACTCACCAAAACCCGATCAATCAAAGACTGGAATCTTATCAACCGACGTAACTCGAAACGGCGCGGTCACCGTCGATTGTCCATGGATGACCAGCTGCCATCGAATCCGGCATCTCGATTCGAGCGATTGACTGACCACCCAGTTGATACTGAACCGAGCATTGCGCATAGCCAATCCGTTACAATAGATTTGAACACTCAGTCACTCACTGCCCTCCCAGATCATACCCTCACCGTACACTCACCCAACAGCGGCAACAACAACAACAACACCGGTATCATCCATCCAACCTGCCGCGTTGACGCTGTCGAGCACGATCAATCTCCCTTAGTGAGCGGTGTATTAATCGAGCCCTCTGCTAGACCGAATGGCCGATCAAAAGATCTAACCCCGACTGGGGTTCTACATCATCCGATTGGTTACGACTACGTTCGCATGTGATCCTATTGCTTGCCTACACGAGTTCTCATTCATTTGTCTAATGGCTTGTTGATATCTCTTCCCCTTTTCTTCTCTGGCATTTGTCTCTATGTAATCAAATTAAAACCTTTTCTTTAAAGTCTTTCGGTCTCAGTACATTTGTGTGGGATCGTTGTTGGCACTCAATTTTTCTCGGCTTTCCCCGGAATACCCCTCGGTCTCCTCCTCGTGGGTCCCTTACGTATGTTTGTTTGTTTGTGAGCACATGTCCCGTACATGGATGACCCTCATGTGCCTGTTCAAACCAGTGTAAAAAATAATCACTTTCCGTTGAACAAGGCTCGTTTGCTTTGTTCTCTCTCTCTTGTCCTGCCTGTCACACTGGTCAAAACCTATTTATGTGTGTTACACATCGAGCATTCCAGAGAATGTTAGTGTACACTTTCAGTGCATTCAAATGTACAGAGTCTTCTAAGACATCCTGTTCCCTCCCCGAGCCCGCCCGGTCGGCCCTTCCCTTTTAGCCCAAACTCTATTTCTTTGTTGACCTCCTCCTCCTCGCTCTCTCTCTCTCTCGTTATCCTCATCATTTTTCGCCTGCCGCTACCACTGTCTTATCGCGCTACATGCCTTCCTATGTGTACACACACATACACCTGAAATCGTCATGGCAGCATTATCTGTCTTTGGTTTGGATCCCTGAATGGGCCTGGATG